CTTCCCACTTCTCTTTCCTTCCTCCCCCTCCTCCCCCACACCACCCAACTCCTCCTCCTCCGCCTCCTCCTCCTCCTCCTCCGCCTCCTCCTCCCCTCCTCCTCCTCCTCCTCCGCCTCCTCATCCTCCTCCTCCTCCGCCTCCTCCTCCTCCTCCTCATCCTCCTCCTCCTCCTCCTCCTCCTCCGCCTCCTCCTCCTGCTCCTCCTTCGCTCCCCCCCTCTTCGCCCCCCTCCCGCCCAACCCCCCTCCCCCTGTCCCTGGGCGAGCCAGGTGGTGGGAGGTGGCAGGGCCGAGCACCGGGGGGCCCCTGAGGCTGCCGCTGCTGGTGGTCGAGGCCAGTGGCGACCTCCGGCCCGCCCCGAGCGCGGACATGGGCCTCCCGAGCCGTCTGACGTCGTGCCCTGTGCATCACGCGGGTTCCCTAAAATCCTGGAATCCAGACCTCGGGGGTCCGGACCTCGGGGAGGGGTCTATACCCGACCCGGGGAGAGGATGGGAGCCTGACCCTGAGGCTGGACCCCTTCCCGGGGTCAGGCTCCCCATCCCGGATCATCTTTGGGACGCTCCAGAGGCCCGGTGAGGGCCCTCTAGAGGGCAGAAACTCCACCCCGATAAAACCACCTCGACACGCGAATCAGTTTAGTGAACGCAGCCTTAGGAGGAATCAGACAGGGCAAGGCTGTTTAGTAAACGCCCAGGGCCGTTCAGTAAACGCCAACTGTCGGGTCCGGGTGGTCTTTCCTCCCCTGACCCTCGGGGACCGAAAGTTGCCCAACGCCTAGCCAGTCGTGGCTTTGGTTTCCGGCGCGAGAGCGTCAGGGTCTCTCATCTGGGCGGGGCCGCGCTGCCGGGAGCGCCGCGCCCCCGCGCCATCCCGACCACGGAGAAGTTGTAGTGCGCCGCCTCGCAGGCCAGCAACGCCTCCCGCGTCGACACGGCCTCCTCCGCGCACGGGCCCCCGCACATGGGCCGCTCGCCCCAGCGGGCCACGATCTCCTCGGCCAGGGAGGCGCTCGTCACGTCCATGATCTCCTGTCGGGTGTCGCTGGGAGTGGTCCTGGCCCGAGGTGCCCTCCAGCTTCTCGCACACCTCTGGGGCCCCATGGGGCCCTCTGGGAGAGGTGTGAGGGGTCAACTGGAGGCCGTGGAGGCCTCCCATCTCGGGCCAGGGACTCCTGTGTGGAGGCCTCCCAAATGTTGTCCGAGCATAGGGGGTCGGAGGACCGCGCCGCATCACATCGGCGATGCGTCGGCGATCCTCCGACCCTATCTGCACGTCCATGCCCGATCCTGGCACTCCTCCTCCGGCGTCCCGACGCAGCCGTGGAGCTGGGCGACCCCGGCGTTCAGGAAAAGCCTTCGCGCGCTCGCGTCGCTGCCGGAGTCGCGGATCACCTGCAGGAGGGTCAGCGGGCTCAGGCACCGCCACTCCTCCCAGGCCGACTCGGACCCCGGGACCCACCTGCTGGCGAACTTCGTCTTCGTGGGCCAAGGGCAGATCGCGTGGTCGCACTGGTACCTCACGCGCGCCCGGGCCGCGTGCAGGTGCGAGACGACCGTGATCTCGTGAGCCTGCCCTCCTGGGTTGCACACTTGAGGTGTGCCCAGCACCCTCTTGACGAGGCCCCTGGGCACCATCATCATGACGTCGCCGACGATGAACACCTCGTGGGCGGGAGACGGCCCGTCGAAAGGCAGCCGCGGGAACATGGGTCAAGAGCACGAGCCCCTTCGCCGAAGGCCCCGCGCCTGGCGGACCTCCTCCTCCTCCTCCTCCTCCTCGTCCTCGTCCTCCTCCTCCTCCTGGTCCTCCTCCTCCTCGTCCTCGTCCTCGTCCTCCTCCTCCTCCTCCTCCTCCTCCTCCGGGCGGAGGGCCCAAAACACGAAGCACATGATTGCCTGGCTGGACAGTGGAGGCCCATGCCAAGAAGCACCCTGCTTGCCCCCAGGGTGCCCTGGGCTTCTTGAGTCTCGATGCTTTTGCTACGGAGAGCGGTTACCACACAAAAAATCAATGGACGTCCTGGGGTCTCAGGGTTGGGTTTCTTAGGTTTCTTGTGAAAAGTTTCTTGTGGTCGAGCTCCCACTGTATCCATGCGTACCCACGGCCTCGCGGTCCGGAGTCCTGGGCCGCGGCCGCGACCCCCCGGGCGCACGGCGGTTGTCCGCGGATATCCCGCGCGCGCGAAGCGCGTCCACGAGACCGCCAGCACGCGGGATCGCGCCTGGGCATCCGGACCGCGAGAGCGCGGGCACGGACAGCTTCGCCCCTCGTGGGCACCTCCCTCGCGGCGGCGCCCCTGAAGTACGTGTGGTGCGGGAAGCGCCGCAGCCACAGCGCGTCGGGGCGCACGCGGAACACCCAGTCGTACCTCAGCCCAGAGGCACGCTCGTCCTCGAGGACCTGCTGGACGGAGCATTCAACTCGCACGCTCACTCATCATCCCGCCCGAGAAGGACTGCTGTGCGTCGATGGGGGCGGTGGAACACAAACACACACACACACACTCACACACACACACACACTTGTGAGCAAGGACCGACCGTCAGGGCTTCCCTAAAGTCCTACCTAGAAATTCTTAGAACAGAAGAATGCCCATATACCAGAAACAACACTCTGATAACCTAGAGCCGGGTATTACAACAAGACGGTCACAGCCAGAACTGTTCTAAGAACATTCTTAGAATTTTCTGTGGGGGCCTACAAGTCAGCCAGGACGCCTCGCCACTGCTTGAACACTTGGGCAAATAGAAACGACTGGTATCCGCACCGCACCATTCATGTCGGGAAGAATGTCCGCAGGGTGGTGCACGAATCCGTTTTCACTGCTGGATACCAGCTCCACGCACCCCGCGATCTGCTCCTGCTGCTCCGCGTTGTTGCTGTTCCCTCGGAACGGGGCGCAACCAAGGCGACGGTTGTCCGCCTCGGTCCTGGCGCCCACGAACCGAAGGGCCGCCGGCCGGTGCAGCTCGCGAGCGCCGAGCAGCTGCTCCTCCCGGTCCACGGGATCCGCCTTCCTCTGGCAGCCCGCGTCGAGCTTCAGGTACCAGAACACCTTGTAGTTCGCGGAGCCGTACGCGTCGAACAGGTTGCGCTGGGCCGACGTGTAGACGACGGGATGGACGAGGCTGCGCGGGCAGCCGACGAGGCAGAACGCCGCGCGCGGGCCCTCGGGGTCCAGCGCTGGGTGGCCGCCGGGCGCGCCGGCCTTGCAGCTGCCGTCACCGCCGCCGCCGCCCTGGCCGTCGGTGGCGCTCTCGCGGCTCGCGTCGTGGCCAGCACCGCCGGCGCCGCACTGCCCCAGGGCGAGCGCGAGGAGGAGGAGGAGGAGCGCGCGGTAGGGGCCCCGCCGCATTCTGGCCCAGGCCTCGGGGACCTGCGAAAGACACGCGCGGGCCAGGGCACCCGATCCGAGCCAGCAAGCCTCGAGCCAAATGGCTACGGACGGAGGGACGGAGGGACGGACGGACGGGGAGGAGGAGGCGGAGGAGGCGGAGGAGGAGGAGGGGAAGGAGGAGGGGGAGGAGGAGGAGGAGGAGAGGAGGAGGAGGAGGAGGAGGAGGGAGGAGGAGAGGAGGAGGAGGAGGAGGGGGAGGAGGAGGAGGAGGAGGAGGCGCCGCCACAGCAAGCAATCCCGACTATGGGGATGGGCGCGTAGCGCAGAAGCGTTCTTTTAGGGATCTCGACGAACCCGTGCTCAAGCTCAGACCACAAATGAGGGAGAACGCTAGGGGTCACCACAAATGAGAAGGAACGATACTTAGGGGGACTGGCTCAGGGGAGGATCCAGTGAGCTGGAATCGGCGATACATTGCCAATGGATCCACGATAGGCCCCCGAATGGGAAACGGGACGTTCCTGAGCGGGGTGGGGGATGGGCAAGACATTGGCGATTGGAGGTCATTGCATACCCCCCCCGAACTCTGCTCCCGAGGTCGCCAAAAAGGACGTCGCCGCCTCCTCTAGGAAACACGGGCCCCAGAATCTCCCAGAAAGCCCCGCAAGGACTCCCAGAGGAGCCCAGAGACGTCCCCAGCTTCCCTGGATTTCCTCAACCTCGGAGGAGGAAGGGGGTGAGGAGGGGGACGAGGGGGAGGAGGGGGACGAGGGGGAGGAGGAGGAGGAGGAGGAGGAGGAGGAGGAGGAGGAGGAGGAGCAAGATCGGGGGCGTGCAAACATGGATCGGGGGAGGTGCCCTCCCCAAAATGCGGCCGGTACCCCCTCGCTCGGCGGCGCAAATCCGCGATTTCCCATGGAAGCGGAACCCGTCGCTAATCCACGCCCCCTCAATCCATGTTTGCGATCGCCTGACATGAGGAGGGGAATGATCATCGATGCTCCCCCCTCCGCGGCCCTGGGGACTTCTGGGAGGCGGTGACCGCCCCCCCCCCCTGCGCCAGGCGGGGCCGCCGATTTCGGGGGCCTGGGCCTCCCTCGCCGGGCGCTCGACCAATGTATATATATATATGTATATATATACACACACATAGAACCGTTAGAGACAAGCTGTTCAGGGAGCCAGGCAATACCGCTGCGCAGGTCGGAAGAAGCAGGTATTGGTGGCGCGCACAAGGGGGTGGAGGGAGGGGGAGGGCTTCTTAGGAGGAGGCTGCTTGATAGAAGGCGCCGGCCAAGCATCTATCGATCTATCTATCTATCTATCCATCTATCATATATCTATCATATATCTATATATATCGATCGATATATCTATATATCGATCTATCTATCTATATACATACAAGGGCCGCGCCTTCTAAGAAGCAGGGGTGCTTCTAAGAAGCCCTCCCCCCTCCCACCACCATCCTCTGCGCGTGGCCGAAGGTAGAAACATGAAGTATGAAGGCGCTGACAATAGACTGGGGATCCGCCCGCCCCCCTGAAGGGGACGGAAAAAGATGAGAGGCCACTCGATCACTGAAGTAGGAAGGTGCTTACAGTAGATTGGAATATGGGACTCCAAAAATACATACTTTCAACGACCGATGGGTATGTGGCAACACACGAGCATGCTCGAGAGCTTGTGTGGCAAGACATGGCCAGAGCTCGAAGTGTTGTGAGGGTCGTGGCGGTTCGACACAGAGGAAGGTCGCTACCATGAGCACGTGAAATCCCACCGGCCCTCTGGGCGTAGGTGGTCTAGCGAGTTTCCTCTTCCAACCCCCTTCCTCCCCTTCGGGGAGGGGTTTACCCCTCCCCCCCTGGACCTCTGGACGGGGTCGGTCGCGAGCGGTCAGGGCGTCCAAGGTGGCCCGAGACGGCTCCAAGAGGGCCTCTGAAAGCCCAAGACGACCTCCAAGACGGCTCAAGATAGCCCGAGATGCCTCAAGATGGCTTCCAAGATGCTCCAAGAGGATCCAAGAAGGTTCCAAGACGGCTCCAAGAGGCCTCGCCTCCGAAAGGCTCCCAAACCTCAGGACAACCACTGGTGTGTACCTTCTCGCCGTTTCGCGTCCGATGGCCATCCGAGGCCTCAAGATGGCTCCAAGATGGCCCCAGGAGAGCCTCAAGACAGCCCCAATAGCTCCCAAGAGCACCCCAAGAGGCGACTCTGGGGGCTCCCGAGGGGCAGTGCTAAGATGTCCTTCTTAACCCCGAGGGGCAGCGCTCCCGAGGGGGCGCTTTCAGGAGCTCCCGAGGGAAATCCCCTTCTTTGCCCCAAGAGCGTGCCCAAGGCTCCCAAGAGCGCTCCAAGAGGGCGCTAATAGGCGCCCAGACGGCCCCAAGAGGCGCCCATGAGGCGCCCAAGAGGCTCCCAAGAGGCCCCCAAGAGGCTTCAAGAGGATCCCCGATGCACCCAAGACGCCCCCCAGACGCTCCAAGCGCCCCCCCCCAACAAAAACAAGAGACATCCGAGGAGGCTCATCTGATCGTCATGTCCTCCTCCTCCTCCTCCTCCTTCTTTTCCTCCTCCTCCTCCTCCTCCTCCTACTCCTCCTCCTTATCCGCCTCCTCCTCCTCCTCCTCCTTCTCCTCCTCCTCCTCCTCCCTCTTTCCTTCACTCTCTCCCCCGTCCCCTCCTCCTTCTCCTCCTCCTCCTCTTCCTCCTTGACTTCCAAGAGAAACCAGAGGAGACTCAGCGAGTCATCCAAAAGGCTTACTGCTCTTCTGTTCGCCCTCTGTCTTCCTCCTCCGCGGGCATATCGTTTGCCGTGTCATGATGAGGTTCTGGCGCTGGGTACCGCTCCGTTTGTCTTGCTGGGTAGGCCCAGCACTTGACCAATCCCGCCCCTGGTGGGGCCTCCTCCCGCCCCGCCTGTTGGCTGGGGGGAAGGGGCCAGGGGGCGACCTCACCCTGTGGGGTTGCGGTCGCTGGTCCAATGCTCGGGTCCTGCCCGTTGCCTTCCTATTTGTTGGTTTCCCCCCTAAGGCACGGCGTTTCCCGCGCTATTGGGGGTTAGCCAATAATAGGAGGCCGGAGGACGGATTCAGCTTGTGCCTGCTTCCTCTTTGTACACGTGTGCCCCTTGCTAAGGGAAGCTATGATGTGTGGCAGGTTTGCCAGGGCATGCTCACCCGCGCCATGTTCGGCGTCACGGTTACCCGTATGGGCATGATTAACGTCCTTCCCTCACGGGAAGACGAACACATATCAGCCTTCTCCTCATCATCCTTCCTCCTCTCTCCTCCCCCTTCCCCCACTTCTTGTTCATCTTCCTCATCCTCATCCTTTCACTCCTCCTTCTTCTCCTGCGTATCAGCCTACTCCTCCTCAAGGCTTATGTCTCCTTCTCTCCTCCTTATCCTCCTCCTCATCAGCATTCGCCTTATCATCCTCCCTCCTCTCTCCTCCCATCCCCCACTTCTTCCTCCTGCTCCTCCTCATCCTCATCTTTCTACTCCTCATTCTCTCCCTGCGTATCAGCCTCTTCCTCCTCCTCCTCCTCCTCCTCCTCCTCCTCCTCCCCCTCCTCCTCCGCCTCCTCCTCCCTCCTCTCTCTCCTCGTCCTCCCCCACCTCCTCCTCCTCCTCCTCCTCCTCCTCCTCCTCCTCCTCCTCCTCCTCACGTTATTCATCTTCTTTTTCCCCACTCCCTCATCCATCCATCTCTCCAGCCTCATCCTTCTCCTCCTCCCTCCTTCGCACGGTTCGGCCGTCCCCCTCTTTGCTCCCGCACTTCCCTAATCACCTCAACACGCCTGGACATCGTTTCTGGATGGGCTGGTGGGGATACGCAAAACGTCTAGAATTTTATCCAGGCTTGTTCCCGTCCAGATTATGTGCGACCTGACGAGTCGTGTGTATGTGTAAATGTGTGTACGTACATATGTGATGTATAATATAAATATTGGGGGGGAGGGAGCGCGGCGAAGCGGGGTAGGTTTCCTGCCGCTCAGACCGCCAACTCCGGCAACTTGCTTTTGCTCGCGTCGCCGGCCCCCAGGCACCCTCTCGACACCTTCCCGGGCCCAGGTTCTCCTACCGAGTTCGATGATCCTCAGAACGTGTGTTAGCCCCAACATGTGTTTGTCCATCGAGGCCCTTCGATACGACGCAGGAGATGTAATGATCTACTGGTTGGGCTGAGGGGGGTAAACACACATTGGGCTAACACACGCCCTGAGGATCATCGACGAGTCCTCAATTGACGACGGTCCTGGGGCCAGGCTCAGAAACGGGGCCCGGAGGACGAAGACCGCGCGGCCCAGAAGGCCCGCGTCTCGCGTGCTCTCGTTTCCTTGAGTCGCCTGGGCCAGAGGCCGGCGTCTCCGGAGGCCTCCGGGGGTCGCTGCGACACCCTCCGCCTCGAGGGGCGGAGGCCTCTGGGAAGCCGAAGCCTCGGGAGGCGCCCCGATGCCGCCGTTAACTCCCCTTGTCGAGGACTTCCAGAGGCCTCGACCCTCGACTCCTGCCCCCCCCCTGCCACGAGTGCCGGCCATCAAGACAAGGCTGGACAAGCCCGTTCCACTGCTCGCAAGTCCAACTATCGCAAATGGCCTGGATCCGCGGCGGGGGATGTACGACAAATTACACAGACGAAGGCCAGCTTTTGTTTTTGGACGTTTGCGGGTGGGCACTCTGCGAGGAGTGGAACGCGCTCGGCGAAAGATGGGGCCTCGTGGTGGTGCTTACTTCTCAGCGCCTGGCCCATGCCGGATCGCACCGTGCTCGCCGAGCACATGCGTGATCCCCCCCGGGCTCGTTCCCGCCGCGACGCCTGCGACTCTGCCTCGCCCGATCGGCCACTGCACGAGCGGTCCGGGGGCCGCAGCCAGGCAGCAATGACGACGACGACGGCGACGGCGACGACGACGACGACAGCGGCGGCTACGGCGGCGGCGGTGGCCACGACAACGGCGAACACGGTACTCAGACCTTCCGCGGATCGTTGCCTCTGCATTGCTGCTTCAACTGTGGAGCTGTTCCTCAAATTCAGCCTCTGGCGGGGCCTGCGTACGGCCCCGGAGACCGCCTAACATCGATCCGTGATGAAGACCTGCCGCTGGGGGGGGGGTTCGAGGGCTGAGATGCCTGCTAAAAGCAAAGCCACTACATTTAGGTCGGGCATGTCCTCCTACAGGGGGATGTTGGACGAAAACCAAAAATAGGAACAAAAATGTGAGAACATTGTCCAAAAATGCTAAGACACTTTATGTTTTCAAATTATGTTTGAATGTTCTTCCTGTAGAGGGACACGCCCGACTCAATCATAGTTCAGGCAGAGAGGCAGAGGGCTGGGAGGATCCAGGGCGGCACAGGAGGGACGGACGGGGGCGCAAGGGGAAGGCTTGCTGCAGGGGCGGAGGGGGACCAGGGCAGTGCGGCAGAGGAGGGGGTCAAGATTTAGGGCAGAGGGGGGTGGAGAGGAAACGTTGGAGGGGCAGAGGGATGCAGAGGAGAGAGTTCGTGATCGAAGGTTTTGGCCTTGCGCGCCAAAGGCCCGTGCACACGTCGTTGTGATGATTCTTGCCAGCCCGAGGGCCCCAGACCTCTCGACCCCATCACTGCGGGACGTTTGCTCATCTTGGCGAGAATCGAATCCTGGGGCCCGAACGCGGCTTTCGCAAACTGAGTTGAAGATACGCGCCGGGATGGAAGAACAATCCGCTGGTGGTCTGAACTCTGTCAGGATCATCCCCAACTGCCTGGGATGAGCTCGAAATTCTGCTGCCACGGCCAGCTGGCCCACGCCTTGAGGACCTGGGCGGGAAGGCGGAAGGGCCCATCGACCGGGCGGACGTTCTTGCGACTGCTGGCAGCTTCCTCCAGCGATCCACCTCCCTCTCCCCCCTGCCACCCAGACCCCCTTCCTCCCAGCCCCCTTCCCCCCTCCTCCCCCGTGGCCCTTCGCCTCCAGCCTCCAGGCGCTGTCCTCCTGTGTCCCCGACCCTCCCCGAATCTCACCACGAGCCAGGGCCGCTCGGGGCCTCACGGGACGCCCCAGGCCGAGTGGCAACGCAAGCGAGCGCTGCTGCGCCCAGCCCGCCCCGCACTGCCAGGCGCTCGGGGGCGGCAGCCGGGCCGCTCCGCAAAAACTGGCGGGCGCGCGGGCCCGGACGCCCGCTCGCAAGATTTCCGAGAAGGGCTTGTGCCTCGGGGCTCGAGGCCCTCGAGATTCGCCCGCCTTTGCCCCGGGGCCTGCGTCCGTTGGCGCGGCGCCCGCCTTGACGGGTGCACACAGTCGGCCTGGATTGGGTCATGGTCTGGGCTGGCTTGGAGCGCGACTCGTGTGAGGCGTCCTCACAATTTGCCTTCCCTCGTTTGGCCTGGTTGAAATTTGCAATTCGAGCCCGTTGTCCTCTGTCGCGTTGCGCATGACAAGAGCAATCCTCCACACACGCCGTGGTTGTCAGCATTCCAGACGTTCTTATGCACACGCACACACATACAGACGCACACACCAAACATCTGATGTTCCACAATGAACCCTTATGCGCGCGGTGGCCGTGAGCATTTCGAGAACATTATTTTCCGACACAGTCCCACATCGTCCAATAAATAAAACTTGGGGTGTGCTGCAATGCAGCACGGGTGATGATTGTTGGGCCGGCGG